GTTGGTCTGTTGTTTGATCATCTAATGTGCTCTCTGCATGTAGCACCTGAAGCAGCTTACAAAAACAATTTAAAGAGCAGTTAGCAGTAAAAATATTGTATCAACTGTATCATAAAGTGGTAATAAAAACCAGGCAAAAAATCAGTCATTAAGGGACTGCAGTAATTGAAAAATGGAACAAGTCGCCCTAGAGAGAATTTACTAATAGAAATATAAGCACACAAGTGAGACTTGCAGACAACATTTTGCAGTATGGAATAAACGTGCTTAGGCTTCCAGTCCCCCATCCTAGTTTCCTGTTTCCATCAGCAAGCAGCACTTACAGCCCAAACAGTGGTCTTTCCAGAGTGTAAGACACCAGATAATGGGCTTAGGTTACAAGAAGCCAGCTTTCAGTTGAATATCCTGAAATACTTCCTAACTGCTAGAGCAGTACAACAATGGAACCAATTACCTTGGAAGGTGATGAGCACTCCAACACTGCAGAGAACATTGAAGAGAAAATGACAGCCTTCTTTCAGATCTGCTTTGGTTTGGATTCTTGCACTGAGCAGGGGGTTGGAGTCGATGGCCTTCTAGGCCCCTTCGAACTTCATCATTCTGTGATTCTATGAGAATAGGCAGGGGGGATCCATAATCCCTTGGAGTTCCCATAAAACGTACCTCTGCCCAGAACACCCCGTCTGTCTCCCCTAACAAGAAAAGGAGTCCAAGAAGGGTGGGAGCGTCTTAAAAAAGACATTCTAAAGGCACAAACAATTCCAACAAGATACCTTAAAGGACTGGTCTCTTTTGACTGTTTGGCCCTCCAAGTTGTTTAAGGACGAAGACTTAAATTTTCTGTTTTTCCAGTCCTCAATGAGTCAAAGATTAAACCTAATAATATGGAATCATCTGAAATGATCCTTTCATTTGTCTGCTATATAATTCCTCCATCACCCCTTGGAACCATGTGCAGATCAGCTCTCCTCCTGCTTCAGTTCCCCTTCTCTCTTTTCCCCATGCGGCTTCCTTTAGCATGTAGTCTCACAAACAGGAAATGTTAACAAAAGCCTGTGTATTCATATAAGTTTCTACACACTTTTTGTAGTTTTTATGTTGGCTTCTAAAGGTAAAGGTAAAGGTTCCCCTTGACATTTTTAGTCCAGTCGTGTCTGATTCAAGGGGGCGGTGCTCATCCCGTTTTCAAGCCGTAGAGCCAGCGCTTGTCTGAAGACAGTTTCCCTTCTCACATAGCCAGTGTGACTAGGGAACGCCGTTTTTTCCTTCCCACCGAGGTGGTACCTATTTATCTACTCACATTTTTACATGCTTTCAAACTGCTAGGTTGGCGAGGAGCTGAGACAAAGCGACGGGAGCTCACTCCGTTGTGTGGATTCGATCTTACGACTGCAGGTCTTCTGACCCTGCAGCAGAGGCTTCTGTGGTTTAGCCTGCAGCGCCACCATGTCCCTGCAGCACCACCACGTCCCTGCAGCACCACCACATCCCTGCAGCAGCACCACGTCTAAAGGTACCAGCTGAATAAAGAATTTGGAATTCAATTTGACAACACAACTGCCACTATTTTTGCTTACTACTGCAAGAGGCTAAAGGAACTGAATATTGCTCCATCTGGAAGGGGTGAGTTCAAATGTTATCTCAGCCAGAAGCTTGCAGTAAAGCCTTGGGGAGCTTCATATAGCCTGAGTTCTCTCTATGGGAAAAAAGGCATTGCAAAGAGAAACAAGGATAGCAAAATGCTGTACACACTATAACAATGACCCCCGTCTCTGAGTCTCAAGGGACTAACTTCAAAATCAACGACAATTGAGAAATCCTAATGAAATTAGTAGTGATTGCCATGTTATTTGTTTTAAATACAGCTTTGCTGGAATTACTAACTTGTTTTGAATTGTGCCAACTGTGCTCAGTCTAATCAATATTCATGTTATTCTACCATTATTATTCCATGACGTAAGTGTTCACATCCTTACAGGACAAGCTTCAATGAAATACATGCATATCAAAAATGCTATCACCACAATGTTAAACCCCCACTGACTTTCCAACCAATGAATCCAACCACAATCTCTGTATTTTGATCTCTATACATATTTTGATTCCATTTATAAGTATTTGCCATGATGTACCTCTTTCTCTTATGTCTGAGGAAGTGAATTAAAATATATATATATAACAGTCTTTAATGTACCACCATGTTTTTAATTTTTTTTATTTTTATCATTTTTACTTTTACTTTTACTTTTACTTTTACTATAATGCTTACACAGACTAACACAGCTTCCTCTTCTACAACTGTGATCAGAAAGAGGATATAAAATTTCACTGCTACATAGATTTGCATAAACTTGTAGTGGAAATACACTTGTATTCTAGCCACACTTACAACTTTATCTTCACAAACCAAGCTGGGGGCTGGGTGAGGATCTACACCTGTTTTCAACAGACGCCGGAATGGTTAGCCCTTGTGCCACTGATTCACAAAGCTAATTCCCACCTTCCTAGTGAAAGCCAACGTAGAGTCCTTGGGTCTTCAGATGACTCTGAGAGAAAAGTACGTGTGTGTTCAAATACCAAAGCTGATGCAATACATCTTGCTCCTTTTTCCATGTACACAAGCCAACACATGGAATGCCAACACACAACGGCAAGAGGGCAGGGTCCTCTTCTTCATATTAGGCAGCAAGCTTGCTCAGGGGAACACAGGGCAGGCTGCGTTGCACCGAACCTTTTCCTCCAACCCTGCTTTCCAGCATATATCATCAGAGGTGACTACCTCACCCTGCCGAACAGTCGAGTCAGCCCTGTAGATCAATCAGTGCATGCCATAAGCCTCAGCACCTATTTTTCACAACACAGAAAAAAGTTTCTGATTCTATAGGTTGTTTCTATCACAGTTCCTTTTCACATCAATGTGCCGTCTTTACTTGTCACCAGAAGATTGTTTTCATCCCTGTGCATGCACAAACATGTTTTATTTATTACCACTTAACTGCTCTAAAAAGTCTGAGAAGTCTTTCTGTGAAAAACTGACCTTCCACATTCTGGGTTAGGAGAAAGCACTTGGACAGCATTCGTAATTAATAACACCTCCATTTCTGTATCTGATCCATCACAGTGAGTCAGGCAGGTAGCCCCACTACCTGGGGGGGGGATTAAAAAAGGGACCATCTTTCCAGGACTCTTGCTTGGAGAAGTAGAGACATCAGGCTCAGATGATCATGGTTAGTTTTTTGTTTTTGTTTTAAATTAGGAACGCTAACCTGATCCAGATGCAAAACAATGGCTCAGAGGAAGTCCAGACAGACACTTTGAATTGAGGAAGAGGTAGTGGACTGAACACCCCCCTAAAGCCAGAAATGTGGAGTAGAAAGGTCGTCACACCCAGCTTCCCTCTGCGCCTGCAGGATCCCAGTGATGCGCCTAGTGGCACGACCAGCTTCGCAACCATGAGAACAGCCATGTGATGGGGAGCCAGTCAGAGTCAGAGGGAGGACACTTTACATCATCAACCTTCCACTCTGCATTGCGGAATGCAGTAGAAAATGGACCCAAATCTAGGAATCCTTTTTTTTTTAGAAGAACTGAGCCTACACAAGTGCTGCTGCACAAACATGCACTTCTGGACCGACCCGCTCCCTCCTTTTCTCTTTTGTTTCGGAAAAAGTCAAATTGGAAAGAAGGTAGGGAAGATCTTTGCTGTAGCTATACTAAAGGGCAAGATATACGTCTCATTGGTTCCCCCAAGAGCCAATCCCATCTATAAACCTGAAAGCAATCCCTCACAACAAAACAGATGTCTTGTTGAACCCACCCAACCCATCTGGTCATTGCAGGGGCAGGATCCACATCCCGTACACCCAAAGAGCAAAGGGCTTTCAGCCCAAGGACTGAACAGAACTTCAGAGAAGTTCTCACAGGGCATATTCCAGCGATGGGCATAGCCAGGGGCAATAAGGTAAAAAAAAGCGCAACAGTATATTTTAGCTGAAAGGTAACTAAGCCTTAGAAGAGGCATTTCAATTTTTCAGAATAGGAAAACCCCACACAAAGGCCAGGAAACAACTAAACAAAGGCATCATGGCCAGGGGTATATGGAGCCATGACTCACAGGGTTAAAGCTTCAGGAATTTATCACGTCATGTACCATCCTGCTCAGGCTTCCCTTTTTTTTCCCTCCGCTTAACTGTAATTCTTATTGGAAGCAGTTTTCCATTGCTGTAAAAGGTGATTTGATCTTGAATGGGCAATTAAGAGCCGTTAATATTACAGAAGACCTGTTCCTCATGAGATAATATGCCCCAGTTCAGTGGCTTGCATTGTAGGATTCTCCTTCACGAGGGAGCTAGCTGTGGTGACTGTCCAGATGAGTACCTGGACTTCCAGATTTACAACTACACCATCAATAATTGTATAGGAAACATGGCCTTCTAGGGAACCTCAAAATGACTGCATTCCGTCCCAAGGCATAAAGCTTCCTTCCCTGTTGGACTACTGCTCTCAGCTATCACCTCTCCATCTTCACCTTTCCCAGAGTAATCAAAACCAATGATACAAGCCAACAAATCAGGCAAGCAAAGAGGCATCTCCCTCTAGCTGTATTTTCTAAACCAAAGCTTAGCGTCTTTGACTTCCACTCCCATCAGCTTCAAACAGCATGGGCAGTAGTCAAGGACGGCGGTCCGACAACAGCGGGGTTCCCCATGGCTGTTTGAAAATGGACAAGCATGCTGAACCTCTGCCATTTATGAGTTAGTACAGCAGGACCCCCATATCTGTGGGTGCTGAAAAATGCAGAAAGCTAGTTTAATAGCAAACGCCACACCTAGCATGATCTCCGGATCCCTCTAGTGGCCAGTTCTTGTAACTTCATTGTGAAAATGTATTTGGAGGGGGATTTTTCTTAATATTTTTAATATTTTCAGACCATGGACAAGTGAATCAGCAGATCTTGATCCTGCAGATACTGTACTGAAGCAGGACAGAGAAGAAGAAAACAGATGTGAAGTACCAGTGTGCTGAAGTACAACTAAGTGACAGGTAGTGGCATCCTCTGATCCAAGAACAGAAACAGAACCTGTTGAAAAGCAGAATGGAGCAGGAGTGAGAATGTGGCCCCTGTTTCTTGACTTTTGTCCTCTTTCAATGGCGCCTTACCATCCTTAGGAGTAGTTGCTGCAAATTCTCTTTGCTGGACATAGAGAAGTCCTTTGGGCCCCACGGTCTGAGCAGGCTGGCTTCTTAATACTTTGGCTCGCTCCTGCTTAGAGAAAGGGGGAAATGGTTAAACATTGAAATAAAATGGCACTAGACTCCTCATTTGGAAACAGAGATATTGTTTTCAAATGAAAGCACTTTTCCTCACCCCCCACCCACTCATTTAGTCATTTATTTTATTTATTTATTTAACCTATTTTCTCCCACCTTTCTTCTAAAAAAAAGGACCCAAGGCTGCTTACATTATTTAAAAAGATAATATCTAAAAGTTAAAAATGGTTATCAAATATTTAAAAAGAATTAAATAAACACTAGATTCAAATGTTAGATAAGAGCATTACTAGAACAGGAGCATTAAAGTTACAAAAAATACAAGTGATCCCATTTCCCAACTTCATTTGAAGTACAACCCACCCAAGTTGAGGCAGAAATTCAAGACAGTGATAGATTTTAAGCTGGCTTCTTGAATCCACAGGGATCAAACACAGGTTGTGAGTAGAGATGTGGGCATTTGTATACAAATATGAATACCCCCATACAGCTGGAGTTAATGAGGGTCTGGCCCCTGGGGTTAGACTGTCCACTCATGCATCTGCCACCGCCACCGGCCCTGCTTTTCCTTCCAATAACTCTGGAGTGCCCAGTTGGCTAACCACTCGTCAGCCTTGCAGGGAGACTCATCTTCCCTCCTTCTGCCAGGAGTGGCTAGCCCACCAGGTGCTCCGGAGAGATTGGAAGAAAGAGCCGGGCCGGCGGCGGATGCGTGAGTGGATGGTCCAGCCCCAGGGGGCCAGACCCTCGTTAACTCCAGCTGTGCAGGGATATTCGTACAGTATTCCTATAAGAATACCCCCATCTTTAATCAAGAGTTACCTGCAAAATAAATTTCCAGAAGTGTGGGATAAAGCTCGAATTTTCTTTTACTGCCTTTCCCTCAACATATTTGGTTAAGTGTGGCTTCAGCAAGGTCTGAACAAAATCTAGGAACAGAAATTATATTGCAACAAAAGGTGACCTTCAGCTCTCACTGTCTAATTTGGAGCCTGATTATCATGAAGCTTCCAGAAAAGCACCAAGCTCAAGGATTGCATTAGGCCTAAGAGATGTATGAAATTAACGCTTTGGTCAAGCATGCCGGAATGTTCATGTTTTCTTGATGTTCAATAATAAATAATGTCATGTTTGTCTGTTTATGTTGTATCCTGTGTTTGACAGGATAACCAAAAAAAAGGTTGAGAATACTGGTTTACAGCAGTGGTTCCCAATCTTTCTTCACTTACATACCTCCTTGCTATTCCATTTCCATAAACTGTACCCTCATCATTCACCAAAATAACAAAGTAGTAAACGTATATCCTTTTCTTAGGTCGGCCAACCCCACTCCCCGGACATCTCTCAACTTGGCTCCTTCCCCAATCCTTCCCCAACTTCTTTCCTTTCTCAAAGTAACTGCCATGCAACAACTCACAGAAGCTGCAACCTTGCTCTGCCAGCCCCTCTTCTTTTTCATGCCAGCCCTTAACATAAAGCCATCGGGTCCAACCCTCTGCTCTAGGCAGGAATCCAATTCAAAGCAGATCTGACAAGACGGTTGTCCAATTTTCTCTTGAATGCCTCCATCGCTGAAGCACTCACCACCATCCAAGGTAACTGATTCCATTGTTGTATCGCTCTAACAGTTAAGAAGTTTCTCCTGATCTTCAGCCAAAATCTGGCTTCCTATAGCTTGAGCTCATTATTACGTATCATGCACTCTGGAAGGACCAAGAACAGATCCTGTCCCTCCTCTGTATGGGTACCTTACAAGTATTTATTTATTTTTTATTTAATTTATATACTGCCCATCTAACCCGAGGCCGTGCTGAGCATTTTACAGCAAAATAAAAGGCAAACTAATAAACAAAACATCTAACCATAAAAGATCAACACTTGCATAAAATAGACAACATAATAAAATATAACAACATTAAAACATTTAAGCATTTAAGATCTTGGTATAATTTATTATCTTACCACCATTACGTTGGTGAATCAAAATAAAACCCCTGTCCAAACAGCCAGGTTTTTAAAAGCTACTTTAAAATGGCAAGTATATAGGCTGGGCAGATATGCAGAGGAATTGATTCCAGAGTCAGGGAGCAACCACTGAGAAGGCCCAGTTCCTAGTTTTTTCCTTCCCGGCATCTATCAGGGTCAGCATCCTCAGACATCCAATCTGGGACGAACAAGTATTTGAAAAGTGCTATCATATCACCCCTCAGTCTTCTTTTCACAAGGCTAAGCATGCCCTGTTCTTTCCGTCTTTCCTCAAAGGGGCTTGGTTTCCAAGTCCCTTGATCATCCTTGTTGCCCTCCTCTGAACTTGCTCCAGTCTGTCGGCATCCTTCTTCAAGTGTGGTGTCCAGAACTGGGCACAGTACTCATCAAGATGAGGCCTAACCAGTGCCGAATAGAGGAGAACTGGTACCTTATGGGATTTGGAGACTATACTTCTGTTAATGCAGACTAAAATAGCATTTGCCTTTTTTTAAAGCCACATCACACTACGAGCAAGTATTTGAAAATTGCTATCATATCACCCCTCAGTCTTCTTTTCACAAGGCTAAGCATGCCCTGTTCTTTCCATCTTTCCTCATAGAGCTTGGTTTTCAGTCCCCCAATAATCCTTGTTGCCCTCCTCTAAACTTGTTCCAGTTCGTTGGCATCCTTTTTAAAGTGTGGTGTCCAGAACTGGGCACAGTACTCATCAAGATGAGGCCTAACCAGTGCCGAATAGAGGAGAACTGGTACCTTATGAGATTTGGAGACTATACTTCTGTTAATGCAGACTAAAATAGCATTTGCCTTTTTTTAAAGCCACATCACACTATTGGCTCATATTCAGCTTTTGATCTACAACAATTCCAAGATTCTCCTCACTTATATTATTATGGATACAAGTATCCCTCCATCTTTAACACCGTGCATTTGAGGGGTTTTTTTTTTCTCTAGGTGTAGAACTCTGCATTATTGCTGTTAAATTTCATTTTGGTTTTGGCCCATTCTCAAGAGCTTTTTGAATTTTGTTCCTGTTATCCAGGTTATTAGCTATTTCATCCCATTTTGCGCCATATGCAAATCTGATCAGCATTCCCTGCACACGCACCCCTCCCTCATCCAAGTCATTCATAAAAATGTTGGAGAGAACCAAGCCCAGGATTGAGCCTTTGTGGTGATCCACTTGTTACCTCCTCCCAGTTTGAGAAGGAGCCACTGATGATAAGCCCTCTCTGAGAACAGAACTGTGTATCCACCTATTCTCTCCAGCCCATATTTAGTTTTACAGCAACAGTCCCCAGACTTTGAGTCTCTACAATGAACGAATGAACAACTCCAACAAATCCCCAGGGTGGCTAGTGGTCAGTCAGGGATTCTGGATGTTGTAATACAGCAACATATGGAAACAGCTGATGAAACAAATACAGGAAGCTGGCTCTGTGCTGAACCAAATCTGACTGGCACGGCTTTCCCAGGATTTCAAGCCAAATACTTTCCAAATCCTATCTAGAGACGCTATTTAAAAATCAACTGAAAACATGGATGTT